TGTGTGTGTGTGTGTGTGTGTGTGTGTGTGTGTGTGTGTGTGTGTGTGTAGAGAGAGAGGTATTTCATTTTAATCATGGGAAAATGTGGATTTAGGGTTACTTTTTTTTAACCAAAAATTGGGATTTTTTTTAAATCAGAGAAAACCAAGATCCTTCACGATCAGCAAGGGACCTGTCTCAGTGAAAGAGTCACCCACTGATATGTGCAGGGCGCATATAGATTTTCATTCTTTCTTGGCTATGGGGAAGATAGCCAAGAAAGAATGCATGGGGGGATGCATTTTGACTTAAAAGTTTAGCTCGTTCTTATATAGGGATGATTACATCCTCTAATATTCTAAGAGAAAACACTACCACTATCATTATGAATCACTATTCCTGACAATTTTAATTCTTTTTACAGCCATTATAGCAGATGCTTACATCTCTATCCTCGGTGGCCAAATCAATCTTCCTAACTCCTCAAGTATTCCAGTATGAATACTGGATATTGCAACACTCATTTGGTTTTGGCAGGAGATAATAGAACTACTCTTTCAGGTCAACCTTCCACACCACTTCCTTGGCAAGCCCAGGGGAACATCAGGTACAGTTGTTTCACTGAGTGCCATTAATGTACAAGCAGATATTGAGAATGACAACACATTTTCTTGTAAATGGCTGTGGTGCTCCCCCCGCCATCCCAGCATCATCCAGCAATCAGTATGCAAGACATTTTATAGTCAATTATAAAAACTTTAGGGAGTTTTTACATTGGTATTTTCTCAGAATCCAAAGCAAACAACCTTGCCATACCACAGAGAATACAAAACAAAATATAGAGAAATCAATGCACCATGTTGCATGACAAAAATGGATTAAAAACAATTTCAGATTCATCACCCCCTTGACTAGATGGATTATCTGCAATTACATTTCTCCTTATTTGTCCATCTCTTTCTCCCAGGTTTCCATTTTTTTCACATACTAATCACCATCCCTGAGGCTCCTTGCACAAACTTTTTTTTCTCACTTTATCTCCTCCTAGCACTTCTCCATCGCTCTCTGTAATCAAATGGTCTTTGCCAAAAGGGATAACTAATACTATCCACTAAAGTTGCTGTGCATCACCATGAGCGCCCATTGTCACCAAGGCTTGCCCTGCCTGGAATGTTCTTTGATCCATATTATAGTCTACTTTTTCCTTCAGTCTTGCCACTAACCCTTTGCATTCCTCATGCATGGCAAGGTGCAGAGGGAAGGCAGCTGGTAGGGAACTGGGCCCTGATCAAATAACTCTAAAGATGACGTGTAGTTAGGAATCAACCAGTCATCTCTTTTAGCATGAGAATATACTCACTAGGGAATGTGTCACTGGTCCCTCTCTGTTCCTGACTGACATAGGATGCAAGTGGTACTCTCTAGCTGGAGGTGCAAGACCTGTAACATGCTCCCCAGTGGGTGACAAAAAGTTCTAGGGTTTTCGTCATTTCAACATATTGAAAGCCAAAGAAAAGTTTGACTTGTGTTCAGGAAATAGGCAAAGAGGTAGACCATGTAGTAACTCCAGTCAGCCACCCCTAACTTCTCCTGCAATTTCATTTGGACAAAGCAAATTAAGCATTCAATCTTGAATGGCTTTAAGAAGTACACTTTTGCAAGGCTCCCATCTTCCAACTTGGTAGCGGTTCCACTTCAGTGATGGGGAAGCTGATTCCTCATGTACAGTAGGTAAAATGAAAGTCTTCCTTAAGCAGTGGGTCTACAGAACTGAGCTCTACCATCTGTGCCACAGCCATTGTGCAATTTCACTTGGAGCAAAGAAGTGTGGGATGATTTGCTGTTCTGAAAAACAATGGTAATGTACTATCTGCTAATATGTCCTATGGCAAAACAGAACTGGTATTTAGGACCTACTAATTGAAAACTGCAATCATCAAGCAATGAAATATTACTGGGGACCTGGGCTGGACATCACATTAAGAGATCACTAGCCCTTTATTGCATAGTAAAGGGTCATGGGTCATAAGAATCTCTTTATCTTCCAGAGACAGATGGCCAACCTGTAGCATATGTGACATGGACAGCCTGTGTGTGTGGCATGCAGCAGATCAGGGAGGAGATAGGCAGCACAGCAGCAGATATGGCAGGAAGCAGAAAGCAGAGCAGCAGATTCAGCTTGATATTTTCTTGTTCCCTGTGTACCTATAGAAGGACTTTTTGTTGTCTTTTATTTCTGTTACCAGCTTGATCTCCACGCATGACTTGGCTTTCCTTGTTTCATACCTGCAGACCCTGGCCACATGAGTGCACTCCTCTCTGAATGCTGAATCATTTTTCTATTGCATATACACTTCTTTTTTCTTTTTCAGAAGTTCCCTAATGCCCCTTCTAAGCCAGGTGGGTCTCTTGGCCCCTTTTCCTCTTTTTGACTGCATGGGGATGGCCTCTTTTTGAGCAGTGAGGATTGCCTCCTTAAGGAAGCACCACCATTCCTGAACTCCTAAATCATTTGGTCGCTGGTTGAGAAGGGCCTTATTTACTAGACTCATACAAGGCAGTCAGGTTGGTCAGGCATGACTTGGCCTTGCTGAATCTATGCTGACTGTTCCTAATCACCTTCTTCTCCTCCAAGTGCTTAGAAATTGATTCCTTGAGGATCTGCTTCATGATTTTTCTAGGGACTGAGGTGAGGCTGACTGGTCTGTGGTTCCCTGGACCTTCATTTTTCCCTTTCTTAAATATGGGCACTATGTTTGCCCTTTTCCAATTATCTGGGACCTCTCCTGATTGCCATGAGTTTTCAAAGATGATGGCCAGTGGCTTTGAAATCTCATCAGCCAACTCCCTCAGCACTGTTGGCACTGGATTTGGACCCAGCCCCTGTACCTTTGTTCCAGGCGATCACAGCCCTCAGATAGATCACACCTGTCAGCTGATAATAGGTGAGTTTACTGATACAGAGTGATAACAAAAAAGCAACAATACAAACAATCAAACAATTCTATATCTACCAATCTTAGCACTGTCATCAGAGTCAAAGTACATCTGGTCAGGATGCAGGCTTCACTTCTGAGGCTCTTTTTCTTACGTGTCAGGTGTCAGCAGTCTGGAGGTGGGATGCTGAGGCCCACAGCCCCCTCCAGTGGGGTGCATGAGACAGGCTCCTGGTATGTGCCCTCATAGCAGCCTCAGGGACCCTTCCTGGGGGACAGGGATATGGAATTGGATAGGGACCCCTCTCACGGAGGAGAAGGAGGGACAGGGAGGGATAAGAGGGAACAGGAAGGAATAGGGAGGGACAGGGAGGGACCCTTTGTGAATCTCAAGTCTCTGCTTTTGTATTCTTCTTCCCCCTTGATGACTCTTCATTCATGGCTATCTCTGGTTGACAGTCTGTCTGTGGTCACATGTCCATGTAGCCTTCTGGGCCTTTTCCTAATTTGGTTTGTTCCCCCCAAACCAGGACTTAGCTCCCCTGCTGCTCTGGGGCCTTGTAGCTGGTGTCACTTATTTTGTGTTATGGGATAGTGTGGTATATACTTCCTTGGTTCCCAGGCTGTGTGTCTTTGCTGTGTTAGACAACCAGTCTGTCTTAAAGGCTGTGATCTTGTGTTAAGGCATGCCCTCCTCAATTCTCAGGCTGTGTCCATCTGTTGGCCTTGTCATGCTAGACAACCTGTCTGCTTCCAGGGCTATATGGAACTCTGTGTATGAAACCCAGGGTTTTACAAATCAATTAACTCTTGCTGCCCATCTTGAAGCTTTATCATGCATATATCTATACCTATAAACCAATTCCCAAAAAATGGAACTTTACATACCATTTCCAAGTCAACAAGCACCCTTGGATGCATTGCATCTGGCCCCATGGACTTGTACACATCCAGCTTTTCTAAATAGTCCCTAACATGTTGTTTTACCACTGTTGGCTGTGCACCTGTTCCCCAAACTGTGCTGCCAGGTGCAGTAGTCTGGGAGCTGACCTTGTGTGTGAAAACTAAGGCATTGAGCACTTCTGCTTTTTCTGCATCCTTTGTCACAAGGTTGCCTCCCCCATTCAGTAAGGGTCCCACACATTCCCTGATTCTCCTATTGCTACCAACATACTTGTCAAAAACCTTCTTGTTACCCTACATATCCCTTGCCAGCTGCAACTCCAATTGCACTTTGGTCTTCCTGACTTCATCCCTGTAGGCCTAAGCAATGCTCTTATAATCCACCCTAGTTATCTGTCCAAGTTTCCACTTCTTATAAACTTCCTTTCTGTGATTTAGTTTACTGAAATGTTCCCTACTAAGCCAAGCTGGTCTTCTGTCATACTTGCTAGTCTTCCTGCACATCAGGATTATTTGCTCCTGTACTGTCAGTAAGGCTTCTTTAAAGTACAGCCAGCTCTCCTGGACTCCTCTTCCCACAAGACTAGCTTCCCAGGGGATCCTGCCCATGAGTTCCCTGAGCAAGTCAAAGTCTTCTTTTCTGAAGCCCAGGGTCCTTATTCTGCTGCTCTCCTTCCTTCCTTCCCTCAGGATCCTGAACTCAATCATCTTGTGGTCACTGCTGCCCAAGTTGCCATCCACTACTACATTCCCCACCAATTTATCCATGTTTGTGAGCAGTAGGTCAAGGAGAGCATGGCCCCTAGGTGGCTGCTCCAGCACCTGCACCAGGAAGTTGTCCCTAACACTCTTAAAAACTTCCTGGATTGCCTGCACACTGCTGTATTGCCCTCCCAGCTGATGTCAGGGTGATTGAAGTCCCCCATGAGAACCAGGGCCTGTGATCGGGAAACTTCCATTAGCTGTTTGATGAAAGCCTCATCCACCACTTCCTCCTGGTCTGGTGGTCTATAGCAGACACCCACTACAAAAATCACCCTTGTTGCACTCCCTTCTAACCTGAACCCAGAGACATCTCCGGTTTCATACTGCAGTTCTGAAAAATCATATGGCTCTTTTATATAAAGTGCAACTCTTCTTCTCCCCTGCCTGACCCACCTGAACAGTTTGTACCCATCCATGCCAGTGCTCCAGTCATGCGAGCTATTCCACCAAATCTGTTATTCCAATCATGTCATGGGTCTTTAACTGTGCAAGCACTTACAATTCTTCCTGCTTGCTTCCCAGGCTCCATATAGCCTGTATTATAGAAGTTGCTTCTTTTAACTTAGTTTGAATTGGTCATATAACTGGTGCTCAAATTCTTACTAATGTATATACTACAAACTCATTATAATGACCCCCCGATGGGACCAGGAGGAAAGGTCATTAAAAGATGAGAGGTGGTACTGTGTTACAAGCAAAACTATCAACATTTCAAATTTGTGAAAACATTTCCATTATTCTGTGTGCTGGTCAGAGAAGAAAGAAACAGCCAACCAAATACAGGGAGAAATTGCTCCAGGAAATATTTAATCAACATTTAAAAACATCTGAATTTTTTCATTTGGCTTCCAGAGATTTAGTGAGCCTAACTTGAGATCAGAGACCTGCACTGCTCTATCAAAGTTCCTGTGAAAAAGACAAAGACAATCCTTGCAGACATGGCATGCAAAGGATTGGACAGGAAACAAGAGTAAAGAGAAACAAAGGCCACTGATAGACATTCAGTTAAAAGCTTGATAGGAACTATAATTAAAATAAATGTTATATATTAAATCTATTTTTTATCTGTATCTATATATAGAAGGAAGAAGGCCCTTGTTCAGGCAAATCTAGTTTTCTGGAAGCTATCCTTCCCAAGGTAACAATGCAGCTTCAATGTGCAGTCCATATAGCAGGGGTATAGTTAAGGACATAACACTGCCTGCAGCAAAAGGTATTTAATTATTTTCTATCTTTAATAAAAATAAAAATAATTGGAATATTGAACACAGAAGTCTCAAGTGTTTTTTTGTTTCTCCTTTTTGATTCAACCCAGTGTATACCAGAAATCTACGATTTTTAAAAAAAATATACTTGCTTAATAATGCGTCACAGCCAGAACATACATCTGATACTGTATATCTGGTGGTTCATATGTGTACCTTTGTATGCTTGAGCAACGTCATCCAGGGCCTATTGATATTGACCGTGGTCTTGACTCATGCAGTTAATGTTCCATAATCAAATGGATTTGACTTTTTGCCAGCTAGTCACACCGCATATTGCTAGACAACTGATTTTTGGGAATTGTGTTCTAGTTGGGATGACCCTATTAGGTATGCCACGAGGACAGAGATAGTGTTGGTGTTTACAGAACAGACTGAAAACCTGTCAGGCATTACTGGTTCATCTCTCTTTTTTGATACCGCTGTTGTTTTGATCATTTGTCTCTTTGTTTCCTGGCTATCAAGTACAAAGAGTTAACCCACGAGGTCCCTTCCAGCCCTAAACTTCTGTGAATCTATGATTTTACATAAAACTTTAAGTTCCACTGAATCTTTTTAAACAAACACATTACTTTCTTGCCTCCTTTTAAAAAAATCTGGGGACCATTAGTTTCTTTGGAATACGCATTCTCCTTTTGCTTTCATGCTTATCCAGACTAGGCTGAAAGGTGTTTGTATCAAGTATTAGCTTAGTTAGGTCAACTAAGACAGGGAAGACCTGGGTTCAAGTCACTAGTCAAATGACTTACTATAAAATAACAAAGTATTCAATGAGGCAAAGATGAAACCTGGGTCGTCTTTTTTTTCTACTGGGCTTCTCCCTCTTTCTGCCAACTGAATATTATTTTATTAAAAGTTGACCATCAACAGAAGGAAATGAGAATACCCCTACACTGAGCAATTTGGTAGTGTTCTCTAATGACTCTAGCAGAGAAAGAAATTAAATACTGGTCTTTCATATCCTGGCTCTTTCCTCTGAGACATTGTGTAAAAAGCTGGCCAGCCTTCTCCTCTTTCAGGCCTTTTTTTTTTTGGAGAGCCTGCTGTATTAAGTGTACTCTGGAGGCACCAATCAGATTGGGTCCTGTGTGTGAGTGAGTCAAAGAAAAGTCTAGCTTATGAATTCCAGTGGGGCTTAAGGGTGTAATGGAAGCAGAACTATTCAGCATACTCAAGTCTGAGCCATTTTTAGGCATGCCCAGAAGGCACAAAATTAAGGGGTAGGACACTTTAATGCTGAAAATTTAGGTATCTTCTGAATTAGGAGCAGCTTGAGAGGAGGCTTTGGGGATTTCAAACTTTGAACTTAGGCACCCACCATGAGTGTCACATGTCTGAACTGGGCCTAATCTCCTATGTGTAACTAACTCAAGGGCCTCTCAGAAATTACTATTGCATATTGCAAGCTCCTATTCTCCAGATAAGAACCCACTAAGGAGGTGACAGTCAGTCAGGTTGTTTAGACAGCTCAAATTATAAAGCAGAATACACCTTTAGAAGAAGCCAACTATTAACCATAAACAGGTTGAGATAAGAGACCATGATTAATACTAGGGATACATTAACTTTCTCAATCAGGAACTTTAATTTTCTTTGAGTCCACAGTCTTAAATCTTAATTCAACAGTTTAGTTAAGGACAATGAGATAAGCTGGAATGTTTGGCTCATCTGAGGTCTATACTTCATGTTATGGAAGTCAACACGATGGCTGTAATGCACCTCACTAAATATGCAACTGTGTTCACAGCATGTAGATGGGAGTCATGTCCTCATTCCTTTGGCAGTGAGTTGGTATCATGAAGCATGACACTTGCTTTTCTTCATCTCCTATTGTTTATTTTTACTATACTTCTTAAGTCCAGCTACACTGTATATCAGGCAGAATGCTAACACTACACATGATACAACAGGCAGAATGAACCAGTACCTAACAAACTATTGCTTTATATGTATAACAACCATACACTGCTATTAATATCTATTTATATTCATAAACAAGTTGCACACAGAAAAGATAATATCCCTCAACCCTCCTTTCTCTCTCCATTTTTTTCCCAAAAAATCATTGAAATCTGCAATTTTGAAAAGGGAAAAAAACCCGAGAAAGATACTTGTATAATTCAAAACATATCCTTTATCTAAAACCCAAATAAGTGCCTTCCAGGTCT